TGATTCGATGCATATTTGATTTCGATTCCATTTAAATATGTAATCATATTGAAATTTAAACTATCTGTCTTTTATATTCACTCTGAAGTTTATCTGACGGTGTTAAATTGTGGCGAGAAGAAGTTTGCCAGGTGCGCTATTGATATTAAAAAGTTGCGAAAACCGGCGCACATAAATTTATATTTAAACAAAATTTTAATTCCATAAATTTGCGAAAACCGGAACATGGCTGATAGAGAGAGTGACGTTGTGCTCTAGTTATGTTCTGCCTCATCTTTTACTCATTCCACCGGAGGACCAATATTCTAGCTGTGTTCGTTCTCATGATTACACTAGTTGACAGGAAATTTTCGCTGTGGCCCAAAATGACTTTTTCTGATAGATTTTTTAACAAATTTTGTTTTTTTTAAATAATTTTTTAAAATCTGGTATTTTCTCATGTTTTTATACCTGTACTCAAAAAAGAGTTAAGGGGTATATTAGATTTGTGGTAAAAGTGGATGTGTGCAACGCAGAGAAGGAAACGTTTCCGACCCCATAAAGTATATATATTCTTGATCAGCATCATTAGCCGAGTCGATAGGGCCATGTCCGTCTGTCCGTCCATCCGTCCGTCCGTCTTGATGAGCGCCTGGATCTCAGAGACTATAAGAGCTAGGGCAACCATATTTGGGTTCCAGACTCATTTGATATCACACTGCTACAAGTGTATTTCAAAATTTCGCCCCGCCCACTACCGCCTTCACAAAGGACGAAAATCTGTATCAGGCACATTAAAGATACGATAAAACTGAAAACGCAGTATCGTAGAGAATGACCATATCTACCAGATTGCCGAATCTTAATCAGATCGGATCATTATTATAGCCAGAATGAAGAAATTAATTTTCAGTTGTTTCCCCCGCCCCCTCCTGCCGACAACCCTGCTACTCATTCGCTTTCTCGCTCGCACACTCTGCCGCGTTCAGTGCGCGAGCAACCCCTCACGGAGGAGATGTAGAATCTAAATGGTACATGCATAATCTACATGTTAGATGTAGAATATACATAGTAGATTTAGATGGAGATAACAGATTAGCAAAAAAAAATGTTAAATGTAAAATTTTTTTTTAATTCAAAAATTCTATAAATGCTCAAAAATGTATATACTGATTGAGTACGGGTATAAGTAGAGTCGCGTCCCCAGAAGCGACTCACACGTTCCTTCTCGTTTTTTCAGAGGTAGTGCTTTTATTTTTCACATAATTAAAAAAAAAATAATTCTTGGCCATAATTTTTAGTTTTAGATTAGACGCATTAATTAAGCGTCGTTTAAGGTATTGTTCATTAAAATCTACATTTCAAATCTATCATCTTTTAGTAGTTTTCGAATTTGTGGGCCATCAAATACGCCTTCTTTAACTTTTGCCAGCGACAGACGTGGAAACAGTTTTAAGGTAACTCATCGATTCCAGTGCATTAACAAAATTTTTCAATAACGTCTTCCCATAGGCACAGGAAGCAGCAGTATTTTGTGTAACCACCTTGCAATCCCGGTAACATGGCTACGACTTTTAAGTCACACGCGACCTTCCACTGGTGTTGTTTATATTTTATGGTTTTAAAAAAATTAGCCATTGTTTGATATGTTTCCTTCATATTAAGAGCATGGGCGATAGGAATAGACGGCTTTTGGTTTCCATTGTGTAACAAAACAGCCTTTAAACTTTCAAAACTTCTGTCAACAAATAATCTCAATCTGTTGGGTCGTAAGCTTCACCCAGTTGCTTGAAGAGTCCGAAAATATCTTGGCAAACGCACATGTCATCCTTCGTCATATAAAATTGTGCGTAAACCAAATGATGCGTCCGGAATATTTTGACATCTTCCTTCAATAAAAGAGCATCCTTTAAAAAATATCCAAAAAGCTCGGCTTTACTTTTAGGTTAGTTAGTTAGGAAGAACCAGGATCCTCACAAAATCATTCAATTGTTCCTTTAAAACTGTATTGCAATATTTATAATCTTCTGATTGGTCATTACTTGAATCTGTTGTTCCATGTGACATCTTCCCTTTTTTTTCCTTTTAGTACGGGGTATTTCCTCTAGTGGCGGAGGAGCAGGAGGCGTAAAGCCTTGACCAGGTTGTTTCGGGTAACCCCCTTACATGGATCTCCCAGTTCCAGTTATTTTGAATGAACAAAAGAAACATTCAGAGGCGTGAATCTCTGGTTTTCTCCACATCATTGGAGTAAAAGTAAATGTCCATATCATTTACAGCCGAAATGGATATGAATAGGTAGGATATATATCCGAGATATATCCATACCTAGGACTCGTTAAAAAAAAATTACAGGTTCCCATGCCGTTCTCACTGGAGCCATAAGAGAGCTGAGCAGTCACGATATTGGACACGACTCTTCAAATCTACTGCTATCTAGTACTGTGGAACGTCTATTTGAGGGACAAACGCAACTTCTGGAGAAGAACTTCTGAGCTGCAGTTTGAGAAAATATGACTTCCTAACTTTTCTGGAAGATACGAAGATTGGTGTCAGTTTAGTGATATGTTCTAGGCTCAGTCGACAAGAAGAGTAGTCTTTCCAAATGTCAAAAGTTCCATTATTTAAAGTCCTATCTAGATGGTGAAGCGTTGTCTCTGATTAAACATATTCGCATTACTGACGATAACTACATACATACCAGGACGCATGGGAGAGGCTCAAAAATCGTTATAATAAAAAATCACTGATTGCTCGGTCGCTCATTCAAAATTTTCTTTCGCTGCCAACTGCAAAAGGTTCAAACATAATCGAGTTGCGTAAAATAGTCGACACCGCGGACGAGAGTATACGTGGTCTACACGCGCTGAAATGCGACATCCGCGAAGTATGGCTTATACATATCTTGCTCTCAAAACTAGACCCTGAATGCAAGGAAGCTTGGGCTACTTCGTGCAAGGAAAATGTGACCATAAATGACCTGTTCGCTTTTCTTTTCGCCCGGTTTGATGCGCTTGAGTCCTGTCAAGATCCAACAGTAGTTCATGATTCTCCCAAACGTCGTGCAGTTTCTCATCATGTGGATGTGCCAACTACGTTTGTTCTAGTTTGCGTATATTGTCACGGGCCACACAGTCTTTATGTGTGCACTCACTTTAAAGCTTTGAACGTTATGGATCGTCGCACGTTTGCAATAGAGGGTAACTTGTGCTTCAACTGCCTAAGTCGATCTCATCAAGTAAAGAAGTGCAATTCCACAAACAGGCGGTAACAGGTCTGATTATGCATACTTTAACATCCTCGATTCCAGCCCAGAAGATTGAGTCGAACACCCCGATGTGGGAAAAGATTTGTGATGTACCCTTAGCAGACCCTACATTTGGTACACCAGGCGAAATCGACATGATTTTCGGATATTCTATTGCACTTCATACTAATTTTGGTTCGGTCATTACAGGCAGCTACCATCTCGCTATTGATGCTCACACCCACGCACTAGCAAATCACATTCACGAGGATCTGGACACCTCAGTCCGATCGTTCATGGACCACGTTCAACCAAGTTAAAAAGTTTCCGGCACTAAAACAATATGTCGACTTTATGGAGGATTACCTACAGCGTGAACACATGGAGTTGATTCCTTCTAATATTCTAGCCGAGGATCCCCCAGTCACAATTATTTTGCCTACCACGCAGTATTTAAACCAGATATCACCACTACAAAATGCCGAGTTGTGTTCGACGGCTCTGGGGAGGTCTGCAAGGGATATTCACTCAATTCAGGACTACACATTGGACCAACTATTCAAAGAGATTTACTTGGAGTCTGTTTACGGTTCCGTCAGCATCGTTATGTGTTCTGTACGGACATTGAGAAAATGTTTAGAGGCATCCTGGTGTCAGAAGAACACACGCAGTACCAGCGTATCGTCTGGCGAAAATAGGAGACTGCTACACTCGATCATTACCGACTGCTGACCGTGACGTATGGTTTAGCTTCTTCTTTTGGCTGTCAGAGTTCTTAAGCAAATCGCTCAGGATTATGCCGATCTGTATCCGAATGCTGCTGCGGTGCTGGTAAGGGACGCGTACGTGGATGATATTCCTACGGGCTGCGATAATATCGACGAACTCATTGCACTCAAGAGCCGAGCTCAATTTAAACTTCGAAAATGGAGCTCAAACTGTTGGCCACTACGCTGACAATCTTTCCTTCAAGCTGACCATTCCTGACACCACAGCTGCTCTGACAAAACGAATTTTGCTGTCGGAGCTTGCTAAGATCTACGATCCCCTGGGTTTGCTTGCCCCCACCACTGTATTTCTAAAGGTTCTCTTTCGAGATAGTTGGCTGAGCTCGGTCGAATGGAACGAACCACTACCGCCGCAGTTATGCTCACGTTGGCAACAGTTTGTAGCAGAAGTTCATTTATTGGAAACATGTCGCATATCTCGCTACATATCCTCACCAATTCAAGCAACGGAGCTGCATGGATTTGCCGATGCGTCGTCTCATGCATACCGCTGTTATTCACAGTCGCGTGAAACTCAATAAAGACTATGTTGTCAGAATGATCGCCGCAAAAACCTGTGTTGCGCCCATAAAACCTGTATCCATTCCGCGGTTCGAATTGAGTGCGGCCCATCTTCTTTCAAAATTAATGTCTTTGGTTAAGCAAGCACTAACTCTTCCTATTTCCAGTACCTCATGTTGGTCTGACTAAGAAGTTGTACTGCATTGGCTCTCATCACCCCCTAGGACTTGGAACACTTATGTTTGCAATCGGACTGCTGAGCTTCTAGATGCTTGTCCATGTAGCTGCTGGCAACACATTCGTACTGGGGACAATCCCGCGGACTGTGCATCACGCGGACTTTTACCGAGGGATCCTGTAGACCATCAACAGTGGTGGAATGGACCACCGTGGCTTTCACAATCACGTCTCAGTTGGCCACCTGCTAAGGCAAAGTTCCCACTGTTGACTGAGGAGGCTGCGCACATGGAAGTTAATGTCAAGCCTCAAATTAATCTACAAATTTTCGATGAAGGAAATGATCTTCAATGTATGATCAAGGCTTCCTGGTCACATCTCTTGCGGAAAATAAGCTACTGCTTTCGCTTTGTACACCGTCCTCGCTATAAGGAACACCTGTCATTGTTTTTATCATCATGGGAATTTCAATATGCAGGCTCTAGGATAACCAAACACGTTCAGATGGAGTTCTTCCAAGTGGAGTACAAGCAGCTAAGCACTGGACGACCACTTTCTCAAAAATCCAAACTGATTCGCTATACTCCATTTATTGACGACCAAGGATTAATGCGCGTAGGAGGACGCATTGACAATTCAATGGCAACTTACGATGCAAAACATCCCATACTTCATCCAAAGGAATCACCAGTCGCTGTTTTACTAGCTAGACACCAGCACGTCACATCGCTATACGCTGGAGTTGTATTTATGTTCCACACTTTGAGACAGAAGTATTGGATTCTCGGTGCCCGCAACATAGTCCGGAAAATCGTATTCAACTGCAAGATTTTTTTCCTCCATCGCAAAAATACGAGCACACAACTCATGTCTGATCTTCCCGCTTTTCGGGTTCAACCCACCCGCTGTTTTCTACATTCTGGATTGGATTACGCTGGACCAGTTACTATCAAGACATCGGTAGGTCGGACTCCGAAGTTTGGCAAAGCTTGATTTGATTCTTCATTCCGCCGTCTGCCCCGCATTTTGGAGGTATTTGGGAGATTGGCGTACTATCAATTAAGCTTCACCTTCGCCGAGTAATTGGCAGCAGTGCATTAACCTTCGAAGAATATGCAACCGTTTTAAACTAGATTGAAGGTCTACTCAACTCTCGCCCACTGTGCGCTCCCAGCGATCACAGCTTGGATCCCCTTACCCACGCTCATTTTCTTACAGGTCAACCTCATATGTCGGTGCCAGTGCCGTCGTTCTTGGACGTGAACATCCACAGACTGCAGCGTTGGAGACAACTGCAAGCCAAGGTTCAATGGTTCTGGAAACGTTGGAATCTTGAATACCTTTCTTCCTTGCAGTCGCGCACCAAATGGCAACGGAGACCAAAAACATAACAGTGGACCCTGGCGGGTAGGCATAAAACGCTAGGGGGTGGTTCCCCCGATAAACATCAACTACGTATGGACCTTCGGGCCTAGTATGGAGTGGACAGACGGTCGAACACGGGTTGGGATGTCAACCCAAACGTCGGTGGAAAGCGTGACTGCTACCACCGGCGGGTACGGGGAGGAGCGATCCTCTCTGCGTGTCGCCAGCGGTCACACCTCTGATATGGCGGGAGCAGGTCATGTCAGTTGCAATGCTACTGCCACAAAACGGACTCACTCCAAGCTGAGCCGCACAGGTGCCTTAGTCGAGACAGACTCGGACCTGGAGAGCGTGCTCTCGGTCAGCAAGACGGAGGAAGATAGCCTTCTCCGCTCGCCTGAACCAGGTTCCAGCTCCCTGCGTAGGGAAGGGCCGAAGCGTTCTAGGGATGGGATGAAGGCTAAGGCCCAATATAAGTCGGCGCTTAAAATCCGAAGCCGGCTCCAAGGCAGGGAAGACATCTCCCAAGAGGAGAAGTCCAAGCTAGCCTGGGCCGAGTAGAAGGTAGAGGAGGGCCGCTTACAATTTGCACAGATGCCGCAAATGAAAGCGACGAAGGGGGAATTTGCCAACAAGGTGGAGGAGATTCTCGCCACCAAAAGGCAACGCTCGACCGAGAGCGCCAGTGGCAACGCGGGCCCAAGGGGGTGGGACCTCCACCCAAAACGGCAAAGAAGCCCAAACCCAAGGCGAAGGTCAATGAGGTGACCAAACGACACCTGATCGTGGCACTCATTGACCGGAGCGATGAGAATGGCAAGATGACGGAGGCGCGGTGGAAGATGGTGCACGCGCAGCTCGTAGAGTCGCTATTCGGAAGAATGGAGGAGGACCCAACAGCCCCCATGCCCACGTTCGATGGGCTGGGTGGCTTAACGGGGTCAAAATACTGAAATGTATGGACGACCCCACACTCAAGTGGCTGACGCAAACGGTCTGCCAAATGGAGGCGATGTGGGAGGGGGCCAGACTGGAGGTTGTGGAAAGGGAGCTAGTCCCGTCCATACCAAAGGCGAAGGTACTCTTACCCATCGCAATCCAAGGAGACCGTGCGATGAGGCTGCTACAGCTGCAGAACCCAGACGTGCCAACGGCGAACTGGAGGATCTTGCACATTGGGAGCCCACTACCCAACGGGGCCCAGAGTGCGATCCTCCAAATCAGCAAGGAGGCAGAGGACCTGCTGTACCCCAGATTCGGGAAGATGGCGTGGGGCATGGGTAGCGTATACCTCCGCCTCAAAAAGCGCCACCCCGAAGACAAGGACACGCACACCCTGCAGGCAGGCGAGGTGGAGAAGGACCTCGGTCTGGAGTCCATCGTGGAGGCCGCTCAGGGTATGGCGCTGGACGACTCCGAAGAGGAGGAGGACGGAGACCTGACAGTAATAGTCAACCCGTCGAGTGTAGTTGAGCCAGCCTCCCATGTCAGTGAGAGTGCTGCAGCTCAACCTCCATAAAAGCAAACTCGCGTCGACGGAGCTCCTCATCGCCATGGAGCAAGGGCCCGTCGACATAGCTCTGGTCCAGGAGCCATGGATTGCCTCTGGCAACGCTGTGGCCGGACTAAAGTCCTCTAACTACAACTACAACCAGAACCGCCGTACTCGTACGAAAGGGCATCCATGCTTACCTTTTGTCTCATTACAGCACTGATGACCCGACTGCTGTGATGCTAGAAAGCGAGGAAAAGCACCTTATGGTAGCTTCCTGCTATATGGCACACCGGAAGAGCTAAGGAGTCTGGTGGCGGATGCCAGCCCAAAAGACCAGCAACTTCTGGTTGGTACGGACGCCAATGCCCACCATAGCGTGTGGGGAAGCCCCGACATCAACGACAGAGGTGAGTCACTTCTAGACGTTATACTATCAACTAACCTAGATGTAGCAAACGTAGGGGAGGAACACACCTTCGTAGGTCCCACCTCGTCCAACGTGCTAGATCTAACACTCGTAACGGGAAAGAGTACTTACTTACGTACTGGTATCTGGCTGGAGAGTCCTTGAAAGACCATCCTTCTCAGACCACAAGTACATTCAATTCAAGTGCGAATTTAAGCACTCTCCTAAGATAACTGTTTATAGAAACCCCCGGAACACAAACTGGGAAAAGTTAAAAAAAAACAGTTACTTTGAATCTCGCGACTCGCCCGGGCACAGTGAAATCCCCGGAAGACATAGAAACGTCCCTAGAGACCCTGTCCAAGGAACTACTGGATGCGTACCACGCATCATGCCCACCCTCGAGAACGAAAAAGAGGACCAAACCACTCTGGTGGAACCGGAACTTATCGCTTCAAAGAAACAACCTCAAAGAATTCTTCAAAATCGCCAAACAGGCGAACGAGGAGATAATCAATGAGGAATACAAAATCCTACTCAGGGAGTACCAGAAGGAAATACGCAGGGCACAAAGAGCTCGTGGAGGAACTTCTGCTCCAATATCGAGAAAGTCCCAGAAACGGCTAGACTTCGGAAGCTGCTATCAAAGCAACCTACCATACAGAGTCAGCTGAAGCGAGAAGATGGACAGTGGACTGAGGGCAGTGAAGAAGGCCTAACAGCACTAATGGAAGCTCACTTCCCAGGATGCACCGAGGTTGCTGACGCTACAACGCATCAGGACCTAGTAACTGAGGAAGAGCATCCCCCAACAGGTGTCATATCGTCTAAGAAAATCGACTGGGCTATAGACTCCTTTGCGGGTACAAAAGCACCTGGACTAGACGGTATATTTCCAGCCATGCTACAGGTGACCAAAGACGTGATCACCCCATGGCTCTCGGCAATATACGCAGCTTGACTGAGCACGGGCTATATCCCTATTCAATGGAGGACCTCGAGGATTGTCTTCCTTCCAAAGGCAGGAAAGTGCATCCCCAAGGATTAAAGACCGATAAGCCTCACCTCCTTTCTACTCAAAACACTAGAAAAGCTGCGGGATCTACACATCAGTTATGATGTAGGGAGACTGATGTCAACCATCAGCATGCCTACACGAAAGGGAAATCGGTAGGGACGGCACTGCACTCGCTAGTAGCCACCATCGAGAGAGCCCTCCATAATTCATAATCAACCTCTGGATAAAGAACCTTCTAAGTTGCAGACGGGCGCATAGAGGCACACCACAAGGTGGGGTCCTGTCGCCCCTCCTGTGGAACCTTGTGGTCGACGACTTAATAAAGAGATTCGAGAGGAGAGCCCCAAAAATAACAGCCTATGCAGATGACATAAGCATAATTATTACGGGAGTATGTCCATCAACCCTCAGCTCCATAATGGAATCAACACTCAGGGAGATATGTGAGTGGGCAGGAAAAGTAGGACTCAGTATCAACGCGGACAAGACGGACCTCATCCTCTTTACCAAGAGATACAAGGTACCGGCATGGATCCCCCCGAAAATTGATAAAACCAGGCTGACCCCGAAAGCACAAGTCAAATACCTCAGCATAGTAAACCATAATCGGAATCGACCCACTGGACATCCACGCTCAACTGACTTCAGGAAAGGCGGCACAACGCTTAGTAGCATCAGGCAATATGTCTCTACAAGGATTCGGGCACAGTTCAATTGGCCGAGACATGACCAGTATATCTGACTACATGATCCCCCAAACTGGCCTGGATGTAAAAACAACCTCATACATGGGACCCGACGATTGGAAAAGGGGTCGGGACCAGACTAAACACCTCAACATCTATACTGACGGCTCCAAGATGGAAGGAGGAGTAGGAGCAGGCATATACTGTACAGACCCTGAGATAAGGCTGTCTTATAAGCTACCGGACCAATGCAGCATATTCCAGGCGGAAGTCTTCGCCATACGGAAAGCGGCAGAGGCTGCTCAGTCTACGGATCGTCCACACGACGTGATCAACCTGTTCGTGGAAAGCCAGGCGGCGATAAGATCCATGCAGTCGTCGGCGGTCAGTTCCAGAAATGTCTTGGCAAGCAGGGAGGCACTAGATATCCTAAGCACGACAAAGTCAGTGCGGATCTACTGGGTTCCCAGCCACCAAGGCATCGATGGCAACGAGATGGCGGACGGTCTGGCTAAGGACGGCGTCGGGCTGGCAAACGACAGAGCTGAGAACGTGCCTGTCTCCCTTAGAACGCTCCAAAGCGATTTAGAGAAACGGACCGACACACTGGCAAGATGCAGGTGGAGCAGAATCACCACCTGCAGAACCTCAAAAACCATGTGCAAGGAGCGCAATAGGAAACTCAGCCACTACATACTGCACCTCCCACGGAAGGACTGCAGAATGTTGGTGGGAATACTCACAGGTCACTGTCTGGTCGCGGCACATGCTATCAAACTAGGCATCACCAACAGTGGCAACTGCAGGAAATGCGAGGAATCCGGGGCAACTGAAACCCTGGAACATCTAATCTGCAACTGCGCGGCTTTCTCAAGGAGCAACTGCAGGAAATGCGAGGAATCCGGGGCAACTGAACCCTGGAACATCTCATCTGCAACTGCGCGGCTTTCTCAAGGGCTAGGAGAATATACCTGGGCGCCCCGGTACTGGCATCACTGGAAGATGCCTCCAAGAGGACGCCAGGGGAACTCCTTGCCTTTGCAAAACTCTCCTCGATCCTCACGGATTTCGAAACCGCGTGAAAACACTCAGAAGGTCCATACGCACCGATCCGGACAACTAAGGGCCATATTGGCCTATGCGTGGCCCCGTGAGGGCCGTCCGGGACAACCTAACCAACCTATACATGTACTTATGTACATATATTTTAAAACTATTGATTATAAATATGCATTACTAATAGATATCATTTTAGGTGGGGAACATGGATGTGCATTACACATTACACCCCCTTCCGGACAACTAAGGGCCGTATTGGCCTTTGCGTGGCCCCGTGAGGGCCGTCTGGGTTAACCTAACAGTGGACACGCTTGTGGTACTGAAGGAGTGGAATCAACCGCCTAGCAAGTGCCTGCTTGGCCGAATCACCGAAGTTCATTCTGGTCAAGACGAGAAAGTTCGAGTGGTCACCGTTAAAACTGCCTGAACAGTCGTTCAGGGGGGGCCGGTATATTGAGATATTAGTCGC